CCAGTTAGAGCAGGTGGAGGGACAGACCTTGCAAGATGTGTGTGAATTATATTTATTGCATCAGAATGATTGTGTTACAACATTGATTTACAAGTTCTTTTTGTTTAATTGAAGAAGTGGTCTATCAATATTTTTTAACTAAACAATTGATATTATACTGTGTAGGAAATTAAGCATAATCATGTCATCAAGTTACCTCGTTTATATAGTGGGTGTACTGACGGGTCACTACCAGCTAGCAAATCATGCGGGAAGACATAGAAATTCCAGTGCATATGCAAGGTAGACTATTCATGTAATAGACTTACTTTGTTTTGAGTAAATGCTTTTTGTCATATATTGGTCATCTCTTTAAAGAGGAACTTAGGCTTTAGTAAAAAGTTCACAGGATTTGAAATCATTGAAATTTTTATACATTCCTAGTATCAATGTTATAATCTGAACATTTTGTCATATAACCTAATGCTTCATTTTTATCAGTAACAGTAATACACATAAATCTTGCGTTACATATGTAACTAAAATTACACAGTCACTACAAAAATCGTCTTCCTTACACCAAATTTATTTCTGCAAGAATATTATATCTAGAGTTGGTTATTGCGAATAAAATAGCAGTCGTCTGAATATTTGCCTCAACTCTCTTCATAAAATTCGAACAATCTTGCGGGACTTATCAGACTTACCACTTATTAGACTGCTACAGTATTAAGCAACATCTTTCTAAAGACTTGGGTTTACTTCAAACTTCTAACACAATCCTAAGAACTCAATGATCACACCATTGTCAGTCTATAATGTACTACCATAAACACAAACTAGTTACTGGTTTCTTAACGAAAGATGCTTCTGTTAACTGCCAAATCACGAGGGTAAGATTAAAAGACGTTGACTCATGTAAATGTTTCGATGTCTAACAAAATCCATATAACTCAATAAACACACCTTTATCAGACTATAATGATCTAAGCACAGATTAGTTACTGGTTTCTTAATAAGAGATGCTTCTGTTAATTGCCAAATCACGAAGGTAAGATTAAAAGACGTTGACTCATGTAAATATAGATGCTACATTCGTTTATAGAGTCCTGTGATTATCAGAAAACGAATCTAGTGTCCTTACACAATTTTTATTTTATCCAATGCAGAGTGTGACCTTGAACTAAGAGATATTATTACATTCTTCAATAGCCTTAGCCTAGGAAAATTTTTTTTTAGAAGAACTTAGTATGGTATATCTTATAGGTCGCAGTATACCATTGTGTCTTTTAATAACAATAATGGTAAAATTAGTTTAATAAACAGAAATTTTTGCAATCGTTTACAATGCCAAGAAGTTTCCTTTTTTTAAGTAAATCATTTTTCTAAAACTCATTATTATAAGGCATATTAACTAATAGTGATATCATTTTATAATCGCATAATATCTCTACCCACCATATCTTTAGTGATATAATATTGATCCATATAATATTACATGATCCATGTTGATCCATATACATTATTGATGTTGATTATATATTTATTTTATCCATTACAATATAAGTATTAAGAATTGATATTTTACATATATGTTCTATTTAATTTTAGACAAAATTATCTTTATTCAGTTCTTTGATGACTTTGGATCGAAAATAATCCGGTTCACTGCGTTTATAATTGTAAATTGTAATTGTGTAAATGTTAAATATTAAAATAGTAGAGAGTACATTTTTGATATATTCGTATTTAATATTCGTTATTAGAAATAATACCCAAAGCTCTTACTTATCTGCATCCATCAAATTCCACTGAAGTTCACTATTTGGTGTTACAAATATACAACAAAAATAATATTTAGTATATCTATATATAACTAAAACAGAAAAATAATAAAAAATATATTAAAAGTCAGGAAAAAAAAGAAAAAATTGAGTTCGACCGATGAAAGATAAAATAAGGGGTTAACATATTTTAGAGCATTACACACAATACATTAGAGTATGCAGTATCTTCGATTATAGACCGACAAATACAAATACGACTATATGATAGATACCAGTAAACTATCATGGTGTGTAGTTTGCATTATTTCACAACTAATGAGTACAATCCATGAAATGTATTTAAATAATTCCATCAGTTAATGGCAGGAAAACAAATGCTTTTAATATATTCTATTATATACATATCAGCTTTTTGTTTTTTATTATATTTAAACAAAGCGCAAAGTTTAAACTAACAACTAGTCATATTGACTAACAAAAGGTTTCTTAATTTAATATTACAAGTAATGTTACTTATCTAAAGTGAGCATATACCAAGCTCTGAGCTAGTCATCTTCTTGCTGGTATACATATAACCTAACAATATTATTTTTTCTGAAATTGATTTCAATTTACTAAATTAACCAGACGACACGGTTTATGTCTCTATAATCGATTACAAATGCACAGCAACTCAAATGGTTCTATTATTAATGCTGTTATAGATCGCTTTAAAAAGTGCTTCACATGGTTTCAAAATCATTCAAACTCATTTGCAAAATCTATACTGAAAGCATTTCATACTTCACACCTGCCTTTTTTTCTAATAAAGGCTGAGGTCCAGTATCATCAACAACGCTTCAAACACGAATTAATCATCGATTTTTTTATTATATTGTAGTAACATTTTGCAATTTATTTCTACATATTATTAATTACAAAAACTTTAATAAATTAATTATGATAAAAAAGAATATTTTTGCTTAAATAATAATATTTTAAAAATTATATTGCACGTCAAATGATTCTAAAACGAAGAGTGAAGCAACATTCTGCAACATTAAAGATATCGGAAGTATATAAGGTTTCAGTTATGAATATAAATATGGCTTTTATTATTATAATTTTGTGAATTTAAGATATTCACATAATACAAACATATAAATCTTTTTTTGTTTTTTCTTTTAAAATTCAAGTTTGTAAACTTGTTAAAATGCGCGTGTCAAATGTGCTAACAACTACGCAACATGTTGCTACAATCAAATGTTGCCGGCAAATATTATCGTTATTATGCGCTAATGATTAAGCATTTATGTGAGGAATTGACACAAAAAAAAAACAAAAAAAAAAAAATTGGTAAAAGTGAGTAAATATATAAAAAGTGCAAATATAAAATAAATATAATTAATTCGAATATATGCTATAATTTGGCATCCACACAACTACGATGGTCATCATATATCAACATGTATATAACCATAGTGAATATGATATGCCTGAAGCTATGCCACTATGGTATAAAAAGCATCATATAACCAACTTATGCAATGCAAAAAATACGCTAAAATGTGTCAAAAAAGTTAAAAAAAATGAATAAAAGCTAAAACTTTTTTATCTGCATTATAGTTTTACTCATGTAAAAAAAATTTTATTATACTTTTTTATGTCTTTAAGTTTATTTCCTTAATGATGCATAATCAAGTAAATCTATACGTTAGCCAACAAGATTGTGACTAGTTAGCTTAAAGCACTTGCAACATGCAAGCTAACAAAGCCTGAGGATCACTGTATTATTATGTGATTTTAAGACCTTTACAATTAAGAGACTGTGAAATAGCTTAGGGAATGACTTAAATCAATTAAGAAGCCTTACAGGTACCTTTTTACACATTTGTTTTAATTGAAATTAATTGAAATTAAATAAAAATTAACATACCTTAAGCTTTGGCAAATGAAGGCTCGAGATTTAATCAATTACATTAAATAAAAATGAACTCTTATTATGTATGTATTTGAAAAAAATTAAAGTTAAGTTATATTATTATATCTTTATAAAAAAATTAAAATTATGTTATTTATTGTATGTGTTTTGAATGAATCCAAAATTAAAATCAACTTCAGTAAATTAACTAAAAATTTTTGTTGTTGTCTTTTCATTTCTATTCGAACCCTTCCGTCTTTTAAGAAGTTTCTTTTCGTTATAATACGCGTCACTTTCGACAAAAGAAAATAACATTTAAACCAACATAGTTTACGAATAAGTATCTTTGAAATACATAAGTTGTTTTAAGTCCTTTGTCAATTTATATATCCGTTCAAAACCTATGTAAAAAGTATTCATTCAGTACTGAATAAGCCACTGTTCCAGCACTCACTGCTCCTGTAAAAATATTTTTATGTACGTAAACCACAAAAATCTTTTTTTTTTTTTTTGGTATGCGTTGGCGTATACATATCTCTATCTTATCCGTAGTTTGTCTTTCAGTTAGTAAAAATTTGGGTCAATGTACCAACTTGCTTTTGACAGTCACATACAAAGGATAAGTGCCTTAACAGAGTTTAAATGAATGCATTGGCATTTAGTGACTGCCGCAAAACTTGTGTTGCAACAACGAAAAACAAGTGAAAAACATAAAATTGCTGAAATCAAAAGACCTCCTCACATCGTATTTCAATCATTTTTCTTTATTTTTCCATTTCATTGCAGCAATGCAATGCAGTACATGTGACTTTTGCTTTTAACCAGTTTAAGATACAATTTAAATATTATTGACTCTAGTTAATCCGCTGAAACTGGAGCAACTTTGTCTGCCATTGGCAGTGAATTTTCCACACTTTCGTTGCCATTTTTATTAGCTCACAACACAACAAATTTGTTAGATAAACCACACTTATTTATTGCGTCATGAATTGCCATTTTAACACACTAAATTTTAAAAGTTCTCATATATTTTTGATAACTAAAATATGAGTTCGAAACGAAATAAATTTTATTCCCTCTAATTATTGATGCAACATAAATTTCTTTGTAATGAATCTAAAATCTTTTAACTAAAAGTCTTAAATATATTATAACCAACTGTCAGCTCACATCTACAAAATGTGGATTTGTACTTAAGCCAAAATCGCATTTTATTATTGTTTGTTTCGAAATGTTCAATTAAAACCTTTGTAATATAAAAAATATATTTTATTAATCAAAAAACCAATCTTTACTCAATTAAATACAATTATTCTTTCTTTCTCTCCTTACAGCCTATTTTTCACAATCAACTTCGTCGTCAATTATCGACACAGCAACATATTCTAACCGATGTACAACAACACCATTCTCAGTCGCGCCCTGGACATCAAACACAACAACAACAGCACCAACCACAGCAGGGTCAATTTTATCTACAACAAACACCAAGCGTTGAGTTGCCATTGCATCAAATACAAACGCAAAGAAATCGTCAACCACAGCCTGCAATTAATTCACGCTACCCACCAACTGCTCCAAATCGTAATACCAACTTTAATCAAATCAGCAGCAATAATATTAATAGCTATCAACAAAACAATCAATTCCCACGTTCAACACAGAACCAATTACATACACCAAATCAGACCCCACAGCAATATCAACCACATTCGCCAATCACCACGCAACAACAACAGATTCAACAACATCAACATCAACAACAGCAGCAACAGCAACAGCCACCTCAACATCACTCTCCCAATTTGGATCTACATACACAAAACTTCTTGACGCTACGAAACTTTGCTAATCAACAAGTTGGACCACAACAAAGTCTACCACAGCGTTCTTACAACAACAAACCCTTCCAAGTACAACAGCAATCGCAACAACAGCAGCCACAATTTTCAAGCTTACAAGGACCTGCATATCAACAACAACCCCAACAGCAACAACAACAGCAAAATTTCGCTATTGGTCCACAAGTTCTCCCACAGACACAACAGAAATTGCCCAATCAGTTGCCAGCTCCGACTTTTCAATCTATACCGGCTAATGCGCAAAAACCTTTCACAACCGCTCCTCAATTAAGTTTTCAACAACAACAACAACAACAACAAGCTTCTCAACAACAACAACAACAACAACAACAACAACAACAACAGCAACAACACCACTTTGCTCAACAACAGCAGCAACAACAACAACAAGCTTTCCAATTAACTCCTAATTTAGGTTTACCGGTTCCACAAATTTTCCCAAACCTACAGTCCACTTCGTTTCCAGCACAGCAGCAACAATCGCAACAACAGGAACAGTTTATCGGTCAACAATATTCCAATCATCCTATTAGTGGAGTTTCACATAACCCCGAACATGATTATAAACAAAAAATTATACAAAAACATGAACAATTCGTACAGAAACAGTATGAGAAGTCCCAAAACAAGGTGAAACAGCAACATGAAGAATTTATTGCAAAACAACAGGCCATCAAACAACAATTACTGCCAACTTTAATCAGCACACATCAGCAACAGTATCAACATCCAAATTATATACCACCACGTGGACGTCCTGTGGATCCATCAGAATTTCCACAATTTTCATCTGCTTTACAAAAATATCACCTGGAACATCCAACTACAACAACAACTACCACCACAACTACCACTGAAGCTACCACAACCGCTAAATCTAATAAGAACATATATGCACAAGTGAAGGCCGAGCTAGGTAAATATGGTACAAAAACCAACAGCAAAAAACCCATCAAGACTATTGGACGCGATGAGCTATTGAAACAATTAAAAGCTGCCTTAGCAGAAGCACCACAAAAAGATTTTGGCAATAAAACTTACGATGAAATGGATCTAGTGCTTCCAAACGGGCAACGAGTCCAAGTAATACGTACTACTGATCCCAATTTAGTAAAAGGACAACAAGCTTTCTCACAGGATCAACTGCAAACATTATTGGCACAGCAAGCTTTAGGTGGTGATGAATTACCTACAGATGTTGGTAAACTAAGTATTGACGATGTAGCACCGCAAAAAAGTAAGGATTTAGTTTTACCTAACGGTTCCAAAGTGCAAATACTACGTTCACCTGATCCAGAACAATCAGTCGATCCGCAAAGTTTACCCGGTGGTGTTGATTTGTCCAATTTAGCTTCTCTTTATGGTGGTGATTTTGCTGGCATTTCAAATGGTGCCAATAGCATAGCAAGTTCGGCAGTAATACAATCCGATTCAGATGAACCACCAAGTTTGGAGGAACTAGCAAAACGCGGTCTCATACCCGATGGCTATGAAATTGAGGGTTTAAGTTCGAAACCAAAACCAAAACCTGCACCAACAGCACCACCTAAAAAGAAAGCAACCTATGTTTATCTTGAAGAGCAAGCCGATGGCAGTTTCAAAATACAAGGCGTCAAAGCCAATGGTGAAAAAGAAACTAAACAAACCGGCGCCGAAGTTGAGAGCATTCTGGAGCGCATACGCAGTGGGGACATTAAACTACCACCCTCAGTGCAACGTCTAACATTACCTAATGATGAAGTAGTAGAAATTGAAAGTGGAAATATCATCAAAACCACAAAAACACCATATATTGCTGCAATACCACCAATAGCTCCAGTTATTGCCACGACAACAACAACCACAACCACCACAACAACACCAAAGCCACGTACTACACAACAACGTCATTATCATCCCTCACGAACTTCACCTGCCTACCACACGACAATAACACCATTAATACATCGTTCAAGCACAACTAATTTCCATGAAACAACAGCACCTGTTTATCGTACTACACCAGCACCGGTCTATATGGGGCATCCATCAGCAGTAGCATATGGTACATCAACGCATACGCCAATTACAGAACATCTAACCGAACCTACTAACGAACCAGCCCACTACTCAGATGCTTTAGTGCAGGAAACTGAAAACACCGAAAATACAGCAGCAGAGAACACATCATCAAACCCAAGCGAAGACCTGATACAGATACTCAAGACAAATGGTTTGTATGCCATGGCAAAATATTTAAAACAATCCGGTTTGGATAGCATTTTAAATGAAACTGGTCCGTACACAATTTTCGTACCAACTGATAAGGCATTCAAGAATCTCCTGGTGCAACTGGGTGGTCCTGAACGTGCAGAAGAGAAATTCAAAGCTAATCCAAGACTATTAAGCGGAGTAAGTTGTTGAAATCGAAGTTGTTTCGATTTATATATTATTATATGATATTATGATATATATTAATAAGCACTCTATCTCATTTTAATAGTTGCTACTTCATCACGTCATACCAGGTTCATTTGAAATTGCAAGTTTGCAAGACGAAATGACAGGCGTTTCGCTAGCTGGAACACAGCTACGAGTCAATCAATATGTTATGCACGATCAGGAATGGAATGATGTAACAGTGAGTAGTTTTTAAATTTTAGCAGTTACTTAAAACCCACATAAAATTACACCAAATATAATGAACGAATACTTATGTTATAAGAACAGCTGCTTATTATCTATTTACATACATATTTTTTGTTGCTATATGGAATTGAAAATCTTTATCTTGCTGGTTATCAGATAACTGTCATATCGAAATGTTAGGCCAGAAAACGCAAAAGATTCTGCGAAGACAGTGGTTGACATAGTTGCGAAGTTTGTGTTGGAGCCGTTCTGTCACAAGCCATGTTTTACAGACATAAAGAAGAACCGATTTTTTTGTCTCAGCATATACAATTTTTAACATACTTTTGTAGTTATAGTTTTGTCCACTATTTGCCATATTTGTCATCAGGCTTAAAAAAATTTTAATTAAAATTGTCTAAATTTTTGTATTTTTTCCTTTTTAAAGCTCACGACTATTAATGGAGCCATGGTCGTTCTGAACAAAAAGGATATCAAAATACCACAAGGCGTTGCACATGGAGTAGATCGCGTTATGTTCCCATTACCAGTTGGTGATATACTACAAACCTTGCAATCGGATCGTGAAAATCGTTTTTCAAACTTTTTAAAAATTTTGTATACATCAGGCTTATCTGAGAAATTGCAAAATAAAGGTAAATATATAATCACAATTAAAATAACTTAGTTTAATATTTTTCTTTAAATCCTATCCCTCATAGGTATTAAAACTTATACCGTCTTCGCACCAGTAGACAAGAGTTTCGCTGACATTGAGTCAGATACTTTGGAGAAGCTTTTTAATGACAAAGAGTCTGCAGAGGAATTCGCAATGAAACATATTGTGCCTGGTTCACTGTTCTCAGCTGGCATGCGTTTCTATCAGGTGAAGGACTCATTGCAAACTGGAAAAACAGTTATATTACAGAAGACGTCAGCAGGAAAAATTAAAGTAAATGATGCACAAATGGTCACATCGAACATTCCCGCAACAAATGGCGTGATACACGCTCTCGATGGTGTGTTAGCGTGAGAACCAAAAACTTTGCAAAATGCTAATGCAGATGTTTTAGTTTATAAGCTTTAGTTCTTATTCCAAAACAAAAGCAAGATCTTACAAATCATTTTTTTTTTTTTTGCTGCTCAACAACGAAAGAAAGTCTTAATCTTGCCACTTTAACTTTGAAGGTGCTTCTGAGAACTGTCAACTAGTAAACTGTATTTTTTACACTCCAGCAAAACTAATATATCCTAAGCTCTATTTAAAGAATTATTTCTATGATAATGAATAACAAATCTTTTGGTGCTTTTAACACAAAACGAGTTCACAACAAACTCCACTTTATTCAATAAACCACTAAGTAATACCGCAAAAACTCTGAAGTCATAAAGTTAGTTTAAAGAAAAGCGATACAGCGATATAGCGATATCAGCATTAATCGATTAATAAAAAATCAGTAAATAATTGGTTAAAATCACGAGAAAATTATTTTTAAGTTAATGTATTTATTGGAAACATTTTCTACTTTGTACAAATTTTTTTAACGAAATTTTAGTAAAAATGCAAAATTATTTAGGCTAAACATTTAAATTTTATTATTTAAAATAAAATTTATAAAACAAAATATAATAGTACACACATTTTAGATTTAGACAACTGGACATTTCCATTATAATTTTATTGTCTACAATAAAAAATTGTTATTATCGAAACATTTAATATTATTAAGCAAATAAAATACAAAAAAAATTACACTGAATTTTTAATTTTGCCTAGATATTCGATATTCGATATTCCTAGATTGACTTAATCGAAATAAAGAATTATATATAAATACAAAAATATTGGATAAAAAAGTTTTTAAGTGATTTCTATTATTCTACTCATGAAACAAATAAAATAGACATATTTGGAAAGGATTTTAGTAGAAAGTGAGAGCCTATTTTTAAACTAAAAAAAATGAAAAATAAATATGACATAAAATTTCAGAATAAAAATAATAATCATAAAAATTTTTATCATTAAATATTATACTTTCAAACTCAAAAAATAATAGAATTGAAAAAATTTATTAAATAGTATACTTTCAAACAGGACTAGTTTTTAGGTTACATAGATTAATATTTAAATGGGTAAGCCTTTTACTAATACTTAAATAAGGTTAATGACATAAACATAATGTAACCCAATTATTAATTATTATTATAATTTAAAGTTAGTAAAATTCAAATACCTTAAACCAATTATTAATATTTTATTTAAAGTTAATAGTATTTAAATGATTCAAGTCAATAATCTTTATCTAAATTAAAGTTAATAATATTTAAATAATTTGAATCAATTATTAATATTTAATTTAAAGTTTTTAACATTAAATCTTTATAAATTAACAATAAACTAAAAAATTGAAGTCAATAATATTTGAACTTCCTATTTAAATGTTGAATAACATTAATTTTTGATTGACATTTTTTTTTTTAAGACATTAAGACATTAATTTTTTTTGACATTAAGACATTAATTTTTTTTGACATTAAGACATTAATTTTTTTTCACATTAAGACATTAATTTTTTTTACAACAACAATTAATGTCAGGGCTTCAAACCAGAACCGAAATTTGGAACTGAACAGAAAAATATCGGTACATGCTTATTCGTGTCCATTTCTTTCTCAGTTACTAAAACATTGATAAATGAAGGTTGAAAACTTAAATATAGTTTTTGTTAATAATTTAAATTTTTTGAAATAATTAATAAATAATAATAAAAAATTCTTTTTTATTTTTATGAAAAAATAGTTAGTTTGTAATACAAATACATTAAAAATATTCACTGACAGTAAATCACTGATCAATCAATATATTATTCTTTAATTAGTTTAATTTAATTTAATTATTCTTTAATTAATTAAAATTCAGGTTAAAAATATGTTCGGTTCAAAGCCCTAACCAACATCAAGAAATCACACGATTTTTAACTTTTCATTATCCATAAAACATTAATCTATACAACAATGAATTGTTTATAACAGATTTATTATTTATTAGTATTTTCTAATAGAATCTTCATGTTTCTCATGTACTTTTACGAAAAAAATTAATTTTTAAATAAAAAATTTTTGAACAGTAGTGAATCACAATAAAAAAACCTGAATATTTGGGTCTTTCATTATTTAGTATCTCTCCAAACCTCTGATCATCAACTAACAAATAAACTAATAAATATTTTCATGGTTACAAACTCATATCCTCAGTGTCCAGTTCCAGTTCAATCAATCCAGTTCATTGGATTGGCCACACACTTCGAAGACCTGTGAACCATATTGCAAGAACAGCACTCCGATCGAACCCCCAAGGCTCTAGAAGACCTGGCGCACCAGCACAAATATGGCGCAGAACTATAGATAGAAAATTTAATAATGCAAATTATAACTGGAATGATATATGCCGCGAAGCTCCCAATAGAGTTAGGTTTAGATATATGATAGAGGCCCTATGCTCCACGAGGAGAAGAGGACAACAGTAAATAAGTAATCCTCAGTGTACTGCCTATTGGCAATACTAGGACACAGTGGTTGCTAGCCACTGGAAATGTAACATTTATGCCTCAAAAACATTATACTTAATCCTACAAACAAAATACGTGATGTCATACCGTACCCACATCCAAAAAAGCTATATAAATAAACATAAAACAATAATTGTGTACTTATAAAATATAAAAATAACTATTTAAACGTATCCGGGTCTGTTTGTGAATGTTAAGAAAATATTAAAAGATATTTGAAAGCTGTACTATATGTTCCATTCTCTAACAGTTACGGCTGATGCGTTCCACCTAGGAACTAGCATAAGCTCATCAGAGTGGTTGAATGAAAATTACATGTCTAAAAATGTGATTCTGTCAGTTGATTGATTAACAATATTGATAACAATATTATGCTTTTAAAACATTATTAAATTTACGAAAAAATATTAATTAATAGTATAATAAAAATATACTAATAATAAAAGATATATTGATAATAAACGATATATTAATAATAAAAAATGTTAAAGTATATATAAAAAATATTAATAATATGATAAAGTATATATAAAAAATACTAAACCATATTTAAAAAAATTAATATTAATAAAACAATAATATACTGATAAAATAATAAAATATATAATAGAAATAATAAAGTATTAAATAGAAATATATAATAAAAATGCATTTCATTAATAAAATAATATTATGCTGACATTATAATACTTTACTGATGAGATATTACTTTTAAAGTATTTATTAATAACATAATAAAAATAAAAGTATTAATGAATATAATAAAAATAATAATTATTTATTGTTTTAATGACCAAAAAAAAAATTTTTTTTAAAATAATTTTGTTATTTTTTATACGGGCTTTTTGATAGTCCCTGATGATGACGATATATTATAGTCGAAATATTGGTAAAAATAAAATCTTTAAAAACAAATAAATATTTCTTTAAAAGATCATTATTTAACTGTTGATGAGTAAGCTTGTATAAAAAATAACAAAACTATTTTTAAAAAGATAGTAATTAAAATAAAAATAATAATTAAAATAAAAATAATAATAAAAATAAATTGAGACGTAAAAATTGGCAGCTTACATAAGAGTGCCGTTTTACCGAGGCTACTCTTACATACTAAAATACTTTGCCATTGTCAGTAGCCTTCCATACTTATAAATAATAATTAACCAGACTATAACATACATACATTATGCCTGATGCAGCATGTTTGAGGAAAACGGCTCCGCTTACAATCCTTATGCAAAATTACTATATATAATAGTACCGTTTTAATAAAATTAGTATAGAATAAAGCAATTTGCACATTATAGATATCTTTACATAGCCCCCACCTCTCACATACATAGGCACATAAATTCTACCACGTCATAAATGTCACGAATCAACGGGATCCAACGTTATTCTAGACCAAGATACCCATATTTAATAAATAATCTTTTACTAAGTATAATGTTTTTGATGCATAAATGTTACATTTCCATTGGCTAACATCCAATGTGTACGGGTAATGCCAATAGGTAATACACTGTGGGCATGGTTTTCTAACCATGAAAATAGTTTTGGAGCTATGACGATGACAAAGCTCTTGTTTTTAATTACTGGATGTTTGGACACTAAATAATGAAAGATTCTATTTTGAGTACTTCCAAACCATCAATCATCAGTGGTCTTTGAAAATATTTAATTAATGTAATTATTTATTATTAATCTTTAATTTATAATTATTTAATGTAGTATATAAGTAAAATATAACATATCTGTAATAAATAGATACTATGTACATAGTTCTAAACATGAAACTATCTAAACAAGGAACTATTTTCGAAGAATATAACAATAAGCATAGTACAGTAAGATCTCTACTAAAAATATAATAATAAAATCTAACAGAAACAAAAAAATTGTCAATTCAATTATTGATTGTATATGCTTTATGATTTCGTTCTAACACAAAAACTGAATTTATTGGTAAACATTATCAACAAATGGACAAAACCTCTGTCGTAAGACCCGACCAAAATCCAAAGGCAGAACCCTATACTGTTTGCAATATAATTGGTATTGAGTGAGTTTCATTTATTGAGTGAATATCTGGGGTAAATCTGGTATCTCGGGGAACAGGTCTCACAACTTCGGCTGTCATGACCAATAGGGATTGGTCACTTTAATAGAAGTATCGTGATGGCTGTGTTTGTTTAAAACAGAAAGCAATCCACATGTAGAATGACTGTATTCATTACTTTTATTCCATGTGGAGTTGAATATTATAATCAAATGATGTGACTTAAATAACAGTATAGTTTTAATTAGTGCCTATGGAATTCTAATAGAGCATTTATCGTTGCACATTGATACGGGTATTAAGAACGCCTAAAGGACAAGCAATCAATTACGTTAAAAAATCAATCACTGTGTGGACTCTGATTACTGTAGTCAATCCAAAATTTAATTAATTAAAAGTGAAGTTTTGTAGTGAATACTGTTCAAAACTTCTCTGCCTAAAAAATAATTTATTTTTGAACTTAAAATTTATTCATCACCTAAGTTAGTAAGCAAATTTATTTTAAGATAATAATTAGCAAAAAAAAAAAAATAAAACATTAGATGTTATATAGTAAATTCGGACTTATCTCTTCTTGTCTATGACATGGTTTAGTGACAGTTTTTAAAATTTTCATTTATAATTAAATACTGTCATCATGTTTTTCTTTTTTCTGTTAATATTGAATATTAAAAAAGATTATCGTTATATATATGTGTAACACACCCATAGATACTATACATGCAATATTTACTAAAAATGTTACAGATTATATATGTATAATCCATTATAGACATTATATGTCTGTTATAAAATATGTAATAAGTATTTGAATATTTATGTTAAATGACGTGTCATATTTAAGTGTTATACATATTCGTAAGTTTGACAAAGAATTTATTAATGATAGTTTAAGCGACATATATGAGTCCACTTTTTATATATTTAATAGGTGCATAACAATATTGTATTTCTCATTTTTTTAAACAACACATTCAATTGATTACAATTACTTGATAAATTAAACAAAATTTATTTTTACTTTCAAATATTATGGTAGAGAAATATTTTTAAGTTACATCAAATGCAAACAATTAAAGTTATCTCTACATATATATATAGATATATATATATTTATATAAACAAGATTAATATGTTCTTGTTTTAAATACAGAAACTCATCTACATCTACTATAACTTGGTAAATATAATATATAAACTACAAATACTACAATGTAACACACACACACAAAACATTTCATAGCTTATTAATACAAGTAAATATTATGTTTATTATATAAAATAATAAATTTTATTGTTTTTTTGTTTTATGTTAAAAATATTGTAATAATATAGTAAGAAGGGAAGAACAATTGAAAAAGATAATTAAATATTTAATTTAAAAATATTTCTGTAACGACTCGCCTAGTATACCTTCCAAATCATGTATACAACGCTTAACACATTTTTCTACACGCACATTATCATCTTCCAAAAGTTCAGCTATAAACGGCAACGTCTCCGGTAGTAATGGAGTAAAGGCATCACCCAACTTGCGTGCGATTTCAACACAACAATTAAATGTAAGTATACGCACATCCGAACTGGATATGCGCGACTTCAACATAACCTGTTGATTTAATTGCTTCACTAGCAAATCATTGTTTGCAGCTCCAGCTAATTCGGAAATACAAAGAATCAGTAGAGCTTCTAGGTCCTCACTTTCTAATACCACACGATTTTCAATTTGATCCACAATCGCTGGTATAAGCAGATCGAAACGACGGGTACTGACTACATTACTGCTATGATGCCTGAAAACGTTACACAATGTACCAAAAATTGCCATTAATAGCTCAGCTTGGAAATCATCTTCTTCTTTGTTTTCTTTAGTGGAATTTATTGTTACATTGTACACTTTTAGCAGTCCAGCTGTATCTTCAACAATTTCACCAGCATAAATCACAAAAAGTGTTTGAAGAGCTGCTGATACCTTTTGTGCGAATAAATAGAATGTCAAATGCGTCTCTTTGCTAGCGCTTTCAGATTTAAATGCCCACTGATAAATTCTTTGGAATACAGGACGGAAATTGACTTCTGTTAATTTCATTATCCAAGTAACAAGCGTGTCCAGCATTATAGTTTCAGTCGGCTGAATTTGTATAGCTGAGCTGTCGTCCACCATATGTGCACTCACCAATACACGATATTGAATCGCCTGCATGAAAATATCTGTTAATTGGATTTGTACGGTAACCCAATCTTCAGCGCTTGTTTCAGTAATTATTACTGATAATAACTTCATGACCTCACTGATATGAGAATATTGATGACTTTCTATCAGACGATTATAGACGTCTTCACAAAATGGCACTGTGACGCGAGATTGAATTTTTGTTGCAATTGCTTTCCAAATTGCTGAAATTTTTTGTAGTATACCAGCGGAATGGTCATTTTCGGGTTGCTGAGCTGCTTTAACTGATATTAAACTCATTGATGTTATGATATCGACCATATATGGGCTTAAGAACAATGGTATAGCCTCCATTAGCTTCAAGAAACCTAAAAAAAAACATATACATGTATGAATAAGATAATATTTAAAAACATATTGATTTAATTTAAAATATTAAATTTTAATTAATATTCCTAATTAGGTAAAGAGGTTTCGAAAAGTAGCAAACCTACAACAACAAAAATTCTTTTATATATATTTTAATTAATTGAGTTTTTGGCTGAACATACAGTTGTTTCAAATATTACCAAGTACCCATCATCAGTGGTCTTGGAAATAATTCTTGTATTTAGTTATTTATAAATAATTTTTTGAGATTTCAAGCACCAGGGACTGAACTCGTGCCCTGCCAATTTGAAGCTCAGAGTCAGTCAGCGTTCATTAGCCGTATTTGACTTTTTATGTTCGCACATTTTTCTGGAGTTTTGTTAATTTGCTGCAAAAGCTAATTAACAAATTCATTAGCTGCGTTTATATTAGAACGAAATCATAAACCAGATGTAAAATAATTAATTATATTTTTTTTTTAATTGGTTAATTTCAATACTATTCTGTTCCTAATTAGTTAAATACATATCAGTTGCAGCCTAAATCATAGAAAACGGTCTTAACTAAGCTCTAAGAAGTGAATCTGCAATGATACTAAGAATTTGGGTAAGGATACTGTTACTTTGATCCAGGAATCTACTGTGGAGTTTTAATAAAGTAAATAATGTTCTTGATTCACATGTGTGAATTTTTCACACATGTGAGAAGATTTAAAATAGATATTTTAAGAAGTAAGAACCTATAATGCATAAACGTTTTTTGACAAATATTCAACATTGTCAGAGCAAATAAAGATTAACATTGTCAGAGCAAATAAAGATTAACATTTCCATTCTCTTAGTTTTTATGATCACAACCTTGAGACTAGGCGTTCAAAAGTTTCATTATTCTAGTGGGCATAATTGATATCCTAATTATATTAAAAAAAATTCTCTCTGACTAATCGTGAAAGTCACAATCGTACAATGAAAAAAAAACCTACTTATTTTTAATTAGAATACGTTTAAATGAAGTTAAAGTTTACTACTACAGTTATACTTTGTTCAGACATCCAAATTTCCTTAATTTCGTAAAAATGAAATTAAGTTAATTTTGAAAGTGTTCATACTGACCCAAATTAAGAAAATCATATGTTTTTTATTCACAAACCGAATGTTAAAAATTACATGCTCTGGGAAATTTTAAAAGTTGATTATTATAACTACAAACGATGGCATTCAGTAGTTTTATTAGCTTTAGTGGATTTCAGGTATGTGAATTATTATTTTTCACTCTATTTTAAATTAATAACAGTTACAGTTCATTCTCTATTCTCAAATTGAAAAATATGCACTACTTTCAAAATATTTCCCGGTTTTATTATAGTCAACTGTCATTGGCATTTATTTAAAAAAATATCCCTTTTTCGTTATCTCAACTTTTCTTATGCTAAAAATTTATCTTACGCATAGTCGCATTCAAAATGTCCCTTAATTTCAGCCTTCGTTTCAACGAAATTAAGGTTATTTTCCTTAATTTCGTTCTAACTTTAAAACTGAATTTTGTATGGAAAAAACAATTTAATTTCATTGAAACGAAGATGAAATTAAGATTTTTGTGAAATTAAGATTTTTGTAAAATTAAGGTGTGTCTGAACATAACATTGGAAATTTTTTGAATATATTGAATATCTGTATTGAGAAAAGAATACACAAACTTCCACATAACTCGAATTTATGCTACACGAATTAAATAGAATGGAACAGGGTTTAGGGAGCAATCACTTTTTCAAAAAAATATTTCGTCTTAAGACCAAACATAATACAAATCAGTTGTCCACACTATTTTGCTGCGACATGCATCATAATATTGTGCACTTTTAAGTTATATTTGATTCAAATGTGCAGTAGACATTCGTCTGCACACATTTGGGTTCATTTTTCTTTTCGAGTCTGCACACAAAATGTGCTCCTCGTATTGTGTTTGGCACATGTTGTGTGCCAGTGCAAACTGGCTGCACACGCAAAGTGCAGCACACTGAATGCGTGTGCGAGTTTTATTTCACTCCACCACATTCGTGTGAAGTGTGTATTTTATTTGTGCACTTAAAAGGTACACTTAAAAGGTGCACTTAAAAGGTGCACTTAAGAGGTGCAATTTTCTTTGTAAAGAACACACCATATGTGTGGTGTAAATCTTTACACGCACATTTGTGGCTTAAAATTTTAGCACAGCACATTAGTGGTGTAAAATTTTAGCACACCACATTCGTGGTGTAAAATCTTATTTAGATGCGCACAACATTCGTGGTGTACAATTTTAGCACACCACATTTGTGGTGTAAAATTGTATTTGGAGGCGCACATTTGTGTGTGGTGCTTTGAATTTTTGGTCCAAAGCACAGTGTTTTTCTGAACCCTGAAATAAAGCGAATATAAAATAAAGCATAAAGCAGATTTGCTGTTTGAGTTGCTCGCACACTTGTATGCTGGAACATTTCGTAATACCTAAACAGTTTGAATGCTTCAAATACACTCTAAATACATCTAATAAATATAGAAAAAATTTTGGTGAGTTTCATTCTGACTTACTTAATACAAGTGCTGCATAGCTATTATCTAACGGTTGACTCTCCAACAGTGCTGTCTGCTCTTGCAGTATATTAATTAAATAGGGCATAAATCTTGGCAAATACGCTAACGAATGAACTCTCAAATTAGATGCGATTTCGGCAATAGTTATAATGACAGCACTAGTTAAAAGGCGTGGCATATTTTTACGCAATTTCAAAACTTTCGTTATTTTAGCAAGTAAACCTTTGAACTCCTCAATAAATTCAGTTCCGTAAGCTTTTGATAGTACCTTAATGCATATAAGGGTTGTTTGTTGCATGTGTATAGCATCGTTATTAGTATTTATTGGATGCGCTGCAGCATCACCATTCGGTTCCTCGGTTTTCCTTCCTATTGTGTCGACAATGGTGTTGAATGGCTCAAAAAGTTTAGAAATTTCATCATTGAACTGACCACTAAAGAAAGTATCCTTGGTCAGCAACTTATTTATTAGCAATTCCATTACTTTACGACGTATACTATAGATATTATGCAACACTAAGCCATTAATTACCATTAGGAAAAGATTTGGAGATAGCATTAATATGACGTTCTCGAGCAGATCGTGAAGATAATTCAATATAGCTTTATTTAATTTTAATTCATGCCCCTCTGTTTGTTCTGCAATAGTCGATTTGACTTTGGGTATATAAGTTAATATTTTCACTACTAAACTTTGATATAGAGTTTTCATATCTAGCTGTTCCTCATCTGTTAGCCTAGCTATTTTTAACATTACTGAATGTTCGCATGTTATATTATGCAAAAACTCTATAATCAGATATTTATAATGACGGAATTGTCTCTTTGTGTGACATTTCACATCGTAAAGCGAGACTTCTCCGGTGTCCATACTTTCATCTGAAGTAACTGCATTTTGCTCACTCAATGGTAAATTTGTAACGTACGTAAGCAATTGTAAGCATGTCTCTAAAATAATGCTTGTTTCAAGTGACTTGACCAGGTCTATAGCAAAGAGAAAACGAGTTGTTTTAACTGTTAGGAATATAGAAGCCACATCGGACTGTTTGCCTTTTTTCCTTTCATTTTCAGTATCTGTAATGTGCGCTTCAAATAGAATACACAAAAAGCTCCAGAGATACTCTTTATGCCCGAGTGTTTTTAAGAACTTAGTATACAGCAAAAGCCGGCGATGTTCTGGTACATCGAACATTATGTCTGAGAACACTTTCAACAATGGTATAGCACGACCATCGATACCATCTACACTTACTGCAGCGGATGTGCCGTGCTCCAACAATATTGGCACGATTTTTTCAACAACAGTGTTTATAATGTAAAAACTAAAAGCATCATCATGTCGTGCAATTGTTGAACCAACAAATGTAAATATTTGCACGATATTATGGAGCACTTGTTGCGGATATAGAGCTGCACAGTGAGCAAGCAAGAGTAATGCATTATGGTGTGTTTGTGGATTTTGTGTTGAACGTACATAATCAACTATATGATCGATACGGAATGTATTTTCTGGTAGTATTTCCTGTATTGCAATACCATCCTCCTTGCAAACTTCACAGCATTGCAATAATATAGCTAATATTAATTGTTTTGCATATTCCACAGTATTTTGTTCTTCTACCTCTAAACAAACTTTTAGCAAATCAAATAGCACTGATATTAACTGTTCAGTATGCAATATTATTTTTCTCTGTTCCAACAGTTGAAGAACTATAACTCCTTCCTTCCACTCTTGTGTAGTTATTTGCATTTGCAATTTTTCTGATTCAAGTTTAGCTGCATTTGCAATTGCCGATGGCTTCTGCTTCAACGGCGTCTTCCCCGTTTTAAACAAATCACCCAGCATTTGCTGTAATATAACCCGCAGCATGTTACCTTCAAAAATGCATTTGTTAAACATTTTGTTTGCAGCTTGAAAAATTGTATCATTATCTGAGGTGTACAGTGTTCGTAAAATCAATTTAAACAACTTCAACTGCGAGTTCTTGTTTAATTTTCCGTAAAATACACCATCTAATACATTCAGAAGTAAACAGGGCACGGGTTGCATTCTATCGTCATAGACCAGATAAACATTGTGCATTTGACACGATTTCTTAAACAGTTCCCAAGCACCAGGAGATTTCATTAGTATCTCTGCAGAATCGGCTAATTCAAATCGCTGCATAATAAGATTATAAACATTTTTGAAAGGTGCGGCTAAAACCTTCAATGTACCGTCGTCAGTTGTATGGTCCAAGGCATCGAATGCCAATGGCATTAAAACTTGTAATACATCCATATCGTCAATATGCTTGAATGCGCTAAGCAATTCTGAAATGAATGCGGAGTGCTCTAAATAAAAACGCATTGTGAACAATTTTAAAATATCCTTAAAAAGTTGAATTCCAAGTCTTTCATCTGCTTCTTCTTTTGTTGGTTTAAGCAGTGTGTACCATAAAAGTGGAGCCTGTTCATGACATGTGAAGATCTCTCTTTCGCGTGACAAAAACGTATCCACAAGATACAGCAAGTTAGAATCCAATATTGCATGCTTTTTAATTTGTGAAAGGACAGATATGGCTTGGAAGCGTATTAGTTGTGAAGAAGCATGCAAACCCATTGTAATTTTAAGAATTTGCACCAAATTAAATTTGAGCGTGGTATTTAACTTCCGACACAATGCAGAAAATAAAATGCAGGCTCTCAAACGCAAAAGTGTATAATTTATCTCACAATTCAAGTCTCTATAAACATAGAAGTTAGCAAAGAAGTCAATAACTGTATATGGCCTCGGAAAAACCACACCGAAAATTTGTTGAATTGTTTTCAACCACTCATGTCTAAATGATCCTCCTTCCTTTCGAAACACTTCTTCAGATATAAAATTAACGATGTACAGCAAATATTCCAAATCTTTGTTTGGCAATTGCCAGTTATAAATATCATCAGAGAGATTTGTATGCTCTACAACTTTTGATACGAAATCGATATATAAACGCAGTGGAATATATGGACGTTTGCGAAACTTTTGCCAATTCTCACATGGTATATGCTTGATTTCAAAGTCTTTTGTATAGTTGCGAATTTGTTTAAAAATTTTCAACGACTCATTACTGTCCAATCTTTGATTGAGGCATGCAATAACAAGCAACATTATGTGCGAAACGTCCATTGCGGAACGAAAGAAGCCTTTTTGATGTGCATCCACACTAGTAAATAATTCAGTCACAGTTGGTGTTTTCATATGACTGGCAATCACGCCCAAGAAATGTATTTTGAAAGAAGCTGCATCAAAATCGGTTGTAATAATATTATCTACGTCTAGCTCCCTTAGAAAAACCAACTTATTGGCTAGTGGGCTCCCTAGTATTGTGACAATATTATCCTTAGCTATTTGGCTATTATTAGATGGTAAAAGCAAAGGCATTAACGCCAACAATATAAGATTTGAGTCACAATTGTTGACCAGCTCTAATGAAACCATGTGGTTCACTGCATATTTGGTAAGAGATTCCCAATGTTCAGCATCCATTTCTGCTTTGTGCAAAATTTCGAATAACACATCTAAAAATTTATTATGACCAAGTATTTCAATAAAATCTTCTGTCGATAGTTGTAAAACCTCTGCCACCACATCTTCACTGTCGTCCTGTACGCGATCGACTAAACATTCTTTCAATATTTGATAGTTTTGTGCACGTGACTTATAATTATCAAGATTTTTACGTAAATTTTGTACGGCCATCATACGCATTTGTGAATTATGATGATATAGGTTTTGATAGATGGCACTAGTATATGCATCAGTCGATTTCAAGCGGAATTCTGTGAATGAAAGAAAAAATTAACAAAAATTAATGTATTTCATCGTTAATTCATAATTAAAATATATATTTTAATTAATTGTATACGAAATGCAGGAATTTTATTTCGTTAAGAAAAAAAGAAAAATATTTGTGGTAATTCACTGCCCTCCTAAAGACCTCCTAAAACAAGCAATCTAATGGAATATAAAAATATTTTTTTTAATTTGAGAAAACAACAATTCATAATAGTTAGGTTAATGCATATAGATGTGGTTTAGGCGTTAATTCAAATATTAGCACAGCAAATGCAATTATCATTTACGAATAAACAAACATTTGGAAAACTCTAAATTCACGGTTCAAATTTGGTAGAATTCAATATTCCAAAACTTATATATGGACAATTAAACCCATAATTGTTCTAACAGCAATATATATATATTCATATTTATATGGTATCTGAAATAGATAGTCAGCCCGAAAAAAAATTAACTTGATTAAATATTAAGTTTTTGAATTTGGAATTTTCCCACTACTTCTATACCCTTAAAATCAAAGATTTAATATAAATCATAAATATTAATATAAGTTCCTTTAAATGTAATAAATTAAAATAAAAGAAACAAACATTGCACATATATACCTTCTGCTCAAAAAGTATCCAGATTTTGTTGTTTGTCAACTACTCCTTAAGTAATAGACCTTTTTCAAAAAAATTTTTTTTTGTTATGCTGGTACACCCTTTCTTGACATATGGTACAAATTTGAGCGCCATCTATCAATTAGTTTGTTTATAGCAGCTGTTAATGTGAGACTACCTCAAGTGCTTTTAGCGATTTTTACTATGGAAAATTCTTGTTGTACGCAATTTTCTGACCAAACCCGGCACCACTGTCATCCCTCAAGCACCATATTCGCTAGATCTGGATTCGTGCGACTCTTTTTCCTGTTCCCGAAACTCAAATTGCACCTTCGTGGTAAGCGTTTTGAGTCGATTGAATCGGTAAAAGAGAATTCGCTGAAGGAACTAAAAGCCATACCTTCACAGGCCTATGAAAAGTGTATGGAAGATTGAGTTAAGCGTTGGCATATGTGTATCGCTTCAGAAGAAGCATATTTTGAAAGAGATAAAATAAATTTGGAATAAAATTTATACTTTTTGAGCGGAAGGTATGTTAATTCTCTGCCATAAATACCGATCACACCAAATCGTACTAACAAAAATAAATCATTCATTTGTATTTTGTACTCTCTTTCTAACAATCACTCACGAAGCCTCTTACGAAGCCTTCGATTTCAGATTTAAAAAAAAACCGATTTTTTTCTCAACTCGGGAGGCTTCCTTCCTCTTTTCCTTCCTTCCCGAGACTATCCAATATCCATTCAATTAGTGGATTTTGAAATACTTCGTAAAACCGAATATGTACAGCAGCACACTAGCATAAATCAGCTTATGTCAATGGAAACGACCAAATCTTAATTTGATTAACATAAGTAGTTTTAGCTGCAGTGGTGGAAACATGATAGTGCTCTTAACCTGTGAAGAAGGCACAATAAATCGAAAGAGATCACACTGCCATATTCTCACATAATAATGATGACTCCAATAAAAGAAATATTAACGACGGAATTGCTTTAATAATGGAATAGATACGGGGACATTAAATATTTTTATGGCCAGCTGTAGAATGGGAAACAGTTTAAACTTGGACAAACTTGAAGAAATATAAACATAAACAGTGACGTATGTGAAAATTGTATAAATTGTGTATGAAATCACACTCCAGTTCTTATTCAAAAAAATATCAAACTTGCCTTTTTTCGTTCAAATATGACATCTGCTTTACAACCAATGGATTAAAGCATTATATATAACTTTTCAGAGAAAAAATTTTAAAGAAAATTTTAGATTTTTTCGAAGAAAACGTAATATTATCGATTTAATTACTTCATGCAGTAAGAGAACTTAGCAAGTCGTGGACAATAGATGTGAAAGTTGAAACAATAACAAACTGTTTCAAAAAAGCAGGTTTTATAAAAGTTAATGGTAACGAACTGTAATCTTTTTGTTTGTAAAGGATGATGTTTTCACTGAAGATTATATGTGTTTAAAGGAACTATGGTTGAAAAGCACCGTTGACGGAATAATATCTTTGGACGATTTTATAAATGTTGAAAATGATACAGTCACTATAGCCTACTGCGATCGAAAATATTTTACAAAGCGTTACTGAAATTTATTACGGTGTCGTAATGTTGTTGTTGTAATCCGCTGAGACCTGTAAGCAGATAACATAAAAGGATATACAAGACGATTATATGGGTAGTGAAGTGGATGGGTAGTGGTTGTGGGTGATGGAGAGTGGAAATAAAGGTGGGTGGGATTTTATTGAACATTAATCTGCGTTCAGACGTAGAAACATAGTCACTTCAATGGGGTGGGGGTCCAAAGGTTAGTAAATACATACCTACCTACATTTACGGAATCGCGTAGCGATGTGTCTGAAAAAATGGTTAAGTCTATAAACTTGTTGGAAGAGTTTCTCGACAAGAAAAAGAGTTAAAGTGTCCAAACAAACAAAGATAACAGACTTTTTACGAGTAAAATAAAATAAATTATAAAAATTTAAATTATAAATAATAATAAATTAAATAGCAATTAATAAACATAATTTTTTCTAAATACAAACCAATATATATATAATTAATATTTTTAATGTTACATATGTTTATATAAATAAACATTAAATATTCCAGTTCTAAACCGGTTCTCTACATATAATATCTATAATAAAGCTACGTTTATACTGATCCCAACTGACTTATTCCAGTAAAATTTAAAAGTGAGAATATAGATTGTGAACAAAGTATTAATTAAAAAAAATAAAAATATAAATATAGCCATGACAATATTTACATTAAGTTAAATTTATCTTTAATTTTAGGTAAAAATAGGTAAAAAATATTAAATAAATCAATTAAATTAAAATTAATTTAGGTTTTTTTATCAAAATTTCGGTATGGCAGAGGCACCAGTTTACAAAAATCTTTTACCGATAAAAGTTGGTATAATTTGTGGTGTTGGTTACTTCAACCAAAAATTACTATTTGCACCAAAAGAAATAGAAGTCTCGACAATATATGGGAAACCATCTGACGCACTACTGGAAGGTACTATACAAGATTATACTTGCGTTCTACTTGCACGTCATGGTCGCAGAGATAATATATCCCCTTCATGTGTAAATTATAGAGCTAACATTTGGGCTTTAAAAGAGATCGGTTGCACTCATATTATCAGTATTTACGACTGCAGTAGCTTAAGTAAAGGTTTACGTCGAGGAGAATTTGTGGTGCCACATGATATTATTGATCTTACAAATGCACGAAGTAATACATTTTATGATGGCGACGAAAGGAGTCCACAGGGCGTTATGGCAATGTCACTTTCTCCACCATTTTCTCTACATTTTCGTCATGTTATGATCGACATTATGAAAAGCTTGGCAGTACCAGTACATGATGATGCTATAATAGTTTGCACTGAGGGTCCGCATTTTCCTACACGTGCTGAATGTAAGTTAATGGCCGAATGGGGAGGTGAAATTTTTAATTCGTGTGCAATGCCTGAACCTGTTCTTGCCAAAGAAATTGGCCTATTATACATGCCTATAGCAGCAGTGACCAATCATGAATGTTGGAATGAGAACGATTATGCATTTAATAAACTTAATATGCATAAGCTCAAACATACATACAATCAATGGTTGCAGACAGTAATCGGTAGATTTATAACTAGCATACCAAGACACAACTGGGACAGAGAGCTTTGTATTGCTAAAGATATTATTAATGATAGCAAAATGCCAGTACCAAGTCGTGGACTTTACACATACAAATTTTTGGAATAAAAATAAAAAAACATAAGAATAATCATAATATAAAATTTATTTTTTTGCTCTTATTAAGGCTGTGTGCGAGTTCGAGTAAATTGAGGTAAAGTAAATTAAAATTTACTCGGGATTTTTTACACTGCACTTATGTAAATATTTATTTATTTATTGCACTTATTTATTATTTTTGGTCAAAAGTTTTCAAATATATTTATTTATTTATTAAACAAATTTCACAATGCTAACACTTAATTTACCTAATTTTTATCTAATTTACCCTACTCGAAATTCTGTTAAATACCAACATTCCCTGCCATACCGACATAATTTACTATTTCCCTCAATTTATTTACTTAAATATTATGAGTAAGAACTTTAGTGCTCGTAGAATGGTTAGTTAAGTGCAAAATAGTAATACATTTTCGAATAGGAAATGAAATATAAATAGTGAAATAGAGCATTCACTATGGAACCGAACAAACTTTTCTCCGTTTGAGAAAAATATTATAAATATAGACAAATACAACCAAATTTTTTACAATTGCATTACACAAATTTCTAATTTCAGAAATCCTAAACCTAGGACGTGTGCGAGTTAGGCTAAGTTGATGCTAAACCAAATGGGAGAGTTTTTGGGATTTTTTGCATTGCACACTTTTAGCCATTTATCAACACGTATCGACACATCACTACATTATCGGCACAACTTAGAATTTCCCTCATTTAGAACGCAACTTAGCCTAACTCGCACACGTCCATAAATCCTAATTTAGAATTCTGTGATTGGTTCTTAAAAATATCTATTTGATTTTATTTCAGGCACAAGTTTGGAATAAATATTACAATTAGAGAATATAATCCATTAAAAATGTTATATAAATAGATATATTGATTCTCTCTACATTAATTACGAGGAGAATATAATATAAGTAAAGCAGAATTGTTGACATTCAAAATCGATAGAATTTACGTTCCAAACAGAGTTCCAACTTTCGCAGTGAATTGAACAGTGAAAATAACAACTTATTTAATAAAAGAGTGATAAAGTACCTAAGAGCAATACAGATATGGGGCATTGAACTTATTAATTAGACTTTAAAGTAATTTTCAATTTAAACACACCAAAAATTGAGAGATCTAGTTAGTGAAAGTAATACTTAATAGGCATTACGGATATCATCCTACCCATCCTTAATCCACCACTACTCCTTAACAATCCCCACCCTTTTCACCCATCCACATCCTAACACATGTACTCGTGATGTAATTCCTTCTATGTTGTCTACTTTTCAGATCCCCGTGGGTTACAACAACAACAGAGATACAATAAGAACCTACTCCATAATTGCCAGGAACACACTACAATGAACACCTCTAGACATAGAGATGCAATAAAAAGTACTTCCTGACATATACAACCTTCTTTTTTTCTAAATGGTGAGTTAATTCAAAGGACATCTTTAAACTCTAAAAGCAGTCTATCACTCTTTTTACACTTTTTATAAAACATTCATGTTTTTTTTCTGTTGAAGCAATATCTACAAAAGTAAATTAAAAAACGGTGACTTTATAAAGTCACCCATTTCCTGTGTTTAGTATTACTCAAAGTTCAAAACTTGAAAGCAGACCAATTGGTATTGGCGTTATGGGCCCATATTCAATATTGCACTTCCCATAGGAGATTGTCTCACAATTATACAAAACAAGTGCATAACACTCAAATCCGTGCTATAGAATGCATGAAAAGGCGATACAAGAACGCCAGCTTCACTATGCGTTCGGATAAGAAGGTAGCTATAATATCATTTCAATTTTGGACCACCAAACCCAAGTTCATTAGAAACCCCAAAAATATCTTATCTGAGTTAGTTACTACAAATACAGTGAGACTCTTCTGGAGTTATGATCTTATGTTATTAAAGCGGCAGGCTAATAACAAGTATATTAATTAGACACTTTTCCCCACCGGGCACCTCTTCCATTTTAGATCAATTGACAATAATGTTTCTTAATTATGTTAAGAAAAGCTTTCTTCTTCTAAAGAAGCTTTTGAACACATTGTTTAGTGAATGATTTGTTCAACGATATGTGTTAAATTGCTTTGCTTGCATCTAAATCTATTTACATGAAATACATCGGCTTTTAGAAAATGGAATATTTTTCTTTAATAGCAATCATATTCATATAAGTTGACAAATGTGTGGAAGAAGGCGCCACTAACTCTCTTCATAATATCTTAACATTTTTTCGGGATAATTATTTGTCAGACTGAATCAATACTTAGAAACATCAAATATAAAATGTTTGAGAAAGCTTAGTCCGACTTTAAAGTCCTAACACAGTCTAAACAACAAAATTGAGAGCATTCTCAGTTGAACTGGACCTAAACACAGATTGATTATTGATGTCGCAACTAAACATGCTCCTATTAACTGCTACAACCTTTCCCAGATGAGAAGAAAAAACATCAACACAAGCAAAAGCAAAATCTGCTGTTTTGGTAGCTTAATTTTAGAACTTTAAAGGGCATTAAAAAGGAACATTTACTTAGTTACAGTACCTATTACAGAGTTATCGATCTACTTATGAATACTCCTACTATTCATAATATCAATAACAATAAATAATATATAGCAAAGCTTCAAACACTACTATTCACCAGCTAGAAATTGCACAAAGCCAGGATAGAGCCCTGAAATTATTTGCGAAATCTGATAGACTTACCAACACCGCGTAATCAAATCTCAAAATGGTTACAGGCTCCTCGGGGAGGTATGCAAATCTGAGGTCAATTATTGCTTAGTCTGGTGTAGTGATAAACAATAATCTAGTCAAGGTGTAGAGAGAGGTTTTGAAGAAACCTCGAGTTAAAAGAGTATAAGTGCTTAAGTGCACTAGCTCAAAACAGCTTCAACATAATAATTAATAATATATAACAATAAATAATATATAACAATAAATAATATATAACAACAAATGATATATAACAATAAATAATATATAACAATAAATTATAACAATAAATAATATATAACAATAAATAATATATAACAATAAATAATATATAACAATAAATAATATATAACAATAAATAATATATAACAATAAATAATATATAATCTAGTCAAGGTGTAGAGAGGGGTTTTGAAAAAACCTCGAGTTAAAAAAGAGTATAAGTGCTTAAGTGCACTACCTCAAAACAGCTTCAACATAATAATAAATAATATATAACAATAAATAATATATAACAATAAATAATATATAACAACAAATGATATATAACAATAAATAATATATAACAATAAATAATATATAACAACAAATGATATATAACAATAAAATATATATATAAACAATTTGAATAAAAAATATATAGAAGAGAGACAATATTATATTAACGGAAAATAATAGAACAGAGAGAGACATTACAAAACTAAAAACAGTTTTCATTGCTCAGATTACTCATCGAAATAATATGAATTAGAATGCAAAAACTAAACTACAGAAAACAGAACAAGTGGATAGTATTAACGATATAATAAATAATATATTAGAAATAACAGACAGACAATTTGGTTAAAGTAGATTATATTTCAAAAATAAACCAGTAATTACTAACTGTGATGCAAAATTATATATAATATATGAGCAAAAGTATTAGACTAACAAGAAACGAAAATAATATAAAATAAAGAATATAGTAGATGAGATAATTAAATAAGCAATTTGAGTAAAAAATTAGTTTTGTTGTAGACATTTAATTATGAGAATATAATAAATCAAAATAGTCTATTATAATAAATATAAAACATTTTATATTACTCAGATTTATATAGAAACTATCGAAATCGACATCGAAATTGATTATATATATAAAAATAATTATTTAGAGATAGAAAACATTGAAGAGTCAATTCATTTGTTGATTGTAGTTTAAAACTCTACGAAAGCCTTAAGAACGGACGGGTCTATGCCCCGGAGCCACTCATCGCCAGCCGACAATCAAGTTCCGTTCGACACCTCCCAAAATGACTTTACTCAGCGGGTTGCGAAAACAACAACGAAAGCATAACATATTAGTTCATATCTTTATATGCATACAAAACTGCATTAATTAATATGATTAAGTTATATTGAGCTGAATATAACCGTAGAGAGAACCGTTCAAGCATTTCAATTACGCTTCTACCAATACACAATTATTTATTTTATTTTTATTATTAAAATTATTGACGTGAAATCTTCCAACAGCCGGTACTGTGGCCAGAAGAGTCCTATTGTACCAATTTCACTATTGATTACACAAAGCACTTCAAAGCTTTATGAACAAAATCTATAATTAAATCTAGAGAAGAGCTCTTAATCTGTTCTGGTGACAGAAATTTCATATGAAATAAGTTTCTTCTGTGCGTTTTTAAAACTGGACAATCAAAAAGAATACGCATAGTAGTTTCCTCAACTTCGAGCCACAATCTGCAAACAATACACGATATATCTTCTAATAATTCCATTAACGGACGGTGACACTTGTTTTTTAGACAACGAAATGCGGTTTAACTTTCCCAACATGAGTTACAGACAACAACCACAAACTTTTCCATTGTTTGACATTATTTAAGCACTCATCAAACTTTACTGGCTTCTCTGTAAAAGTGATTGAGCTATTGACTTGTCTACACAAAATACTATAAAGCTATAGTATTAATTCAAAATTAAATACGAAAATCTATAAATCTTATAACTGGACTGGACGGAAAGATATTAAATATGTACATTAATTACATGATTTTAGCATATAAGAAACTTTGATGATTTGGCATTGTGGCTATGACCTAAAGCGACTTTCATGTTATCTGCTTACATGTCCCAGCGGGTTACAACAAAAACAACGTAAAACAGACAGTTCTTAGAACGGCCGTAGCCACTAGTCATTCTCTATAACCAAGTGCCGTTCATCATCACCCAAACGGATTGGATAAGCAGATCTCCACGGACTACAACAACAACCTAAACCAGACAGTTCTAAGAACGGAGGCAGCCTCTTATCACTCTCGATAATCAAGTGCCGTTCATCACCCTCCCAAACCGGATTGTACAAGCCAATATTTACGGTCTACAACAACAATTCAAAGCGAACCCAATTATATGAGATCTGCTGCTTTAATCTGCAGTAGAATATAAACAAAACACAACATTTCTGTTTCAAATCTACAATAATTTTCTAAAATGAAATAATACGCAATCATTGAACATAATAATTATATATACTTACGTATTGCCAATTGAATTGCTTCTTGACGCCTAGCACTTTTGTCATCATCTTTCTTGAGCACAGATTTTAAAACCATATCGAAGGCACGTGGAAATCTTGTTTCCAATCTGTACAAAATGCTCGAGAACCACTTAACGAAATCTATGCCTTCAACTTCGGAATCAATTTCTATAACCTCGTCCGCTTCCAATGGATGTTTTGCTGGAGGAATAACATAGGTACTCAAAAAAGCGCTGCAAGTTTAAGAATAAATAATAAAATAACATGAAATTGTTAAGCATTTTTCACTAAAAAATACAAACTTTATGATACGTTGCACAGCTACGTCCGGAAGTGGCAATTCAACCACAGCATCAATGAATTCCATACAACTCAAGCCATTTTCTTTTTCCTGCTGAATAGCATTGCTGCATTGGACGAAAAGTGGTACCAGAAGTGCTTGCACTGACACGCCCGCACCAATAATATCATCCAATTCTTTGACAAACCAATCGTAACCTATTACGGTAAATAGAGCTTCCTTATCGTAAGTGTTCTGGATGTTATGTTGCGTTTCAAAAATAAAGACGAGCAACATCACAGCCGTCCGACGAAGTTGTTTGTGCTGTACTCCGACTATGTGCCTGATAAGACCATTGCAGGCATTTTGGTTGAACTTGCAACAAGTCACCAATTGTGCTGTCACGACTAAGCCAGCCGACATAAAGTCCAGTAGTTTTGATTTCAATGCTTTTATTACAGAGGCTAAAACAATATTTATGTGCCATCCTTCAATTTTGGCTTGTTCCAGTGCACCTACAACAACGGTGCTGTAGAAATTTATTTGTGTCTGCAAAAGGTAAGAGCAACTGCCCAACTCTTGCACAGCATCTGCAGTTGTCTTGCAAATGAACTTCAGAAAAGCTGGGTTGGTAGCAGCGCGAGTGATTATAGTTGACTTAGCGAGCGGTACACCAGGCTTTTGTAGTGGGCGCAACCAACCCCATTCCTGATCGGACGCTGTCAGCTTCACTGTTTGCAATATGGACGTAAACGTAAGCGTTTCGTAATAGGGCAACGCTAAACCGAACAGTGCCGACCGATTGTATTCATGAATATGGAAACGACGCAATAGCCATTCCAGGCACAATTGTGCTGGACGTAATAGCAGATATGGTGATAAGTACTGCAGGAACTTATTTATATTTCGATTCAATAATTCGTTCACTTCGGCAGTCTCTACTGCACGTTCCAAGCTTAAGGTGGGCTCGTAGAAGAGCGTTGTTTCAAATTGTCGAAAAGTGGAATTTATGCTCTGCAATTCACGTAAGCCACTTACGCCCAAATCGTAAATTGTACGACGATCCTTTGTAGCGGCTTCCTTTGGATCGAAAATGATTGACGCCCTATATTTCACATCCTGCAGAGCTTTTGTCTGTGGAACTGCAAGTCTCTGCAATTGTTGTTGCAGCGAAGTAGACATCTTATATTATTTTCAACAACGCAGCGCAATATAATTAATTAGTTTTCAATCATAGATATTTTTCACTTTTCACATGTTGCACACACCGCGAGCACGTTTCTATACATCTGAAAACGAAAAGCGAAAATGGAGTGAGCGCAGGCAAACAATGCTGCCAGAGCGTCAAATATTTGTGAAGAACGTAAAATGTGAAAAAAAGGAAAAAGGGAAATTAATTACAATAAATATATAAAAATTATAATTAACGCTGCATTTATAATAAAATTCAATTATTTTTCAGAAGTTTTATGAATTTTTAAATCAGTATTTATTTAATTTAAATCATTTCATTTGCCGTACATTTACGTACACCAACTTAATTAACTCAACAAATAAGTCATAACAAATGTCATTTTTATTGAAAAATCCGTATAAAAATGTGTAAATGTGATTAAATAATTGCAATTGCTTCTATATTTATGTTACATTTGCATTATATTTATATTTTTATACGTGTTTAGTGCTTATATTATGTCTGTTCCACGACAAACTGAGCGTGTAACACAAATAAAGTGTCAAATTACGCACTTTACTCAGATTTTCATGGAATAGCTTTGTGTGAAGTCTGGTGAGAATACCAGTGCGGCGTAAATAAACAATACAAAAATTTAAATTCAAACCAAAACAGCTGATTCATACATCAACACAAAATTTCCTTGAAATAGAATGTACGAGTAAAACCTGTATAGCATTTTCAAATTTCGACAGGGATGTTACGCTCTCTCAGATGCTCTCATTTACTCGAAAATTTGCTGGTGGAACACAATTGTGTATACACAGTGTTACTCAAAGTTACTAAGAGTAGCTCGTGGAACAGATCTATTATTAAAATTATTATTATTATTAAAAATTATGAAAAGGAAAAACTAAAGACTGCTAAAATACACTAAACATGTTTATTAATTTAATGCTATTGTTAATAATATGTAGTTTATGAACTTTTTTGAACTTTATATAATACATTATGTCTATATTAATGTTAATAAATTGAAGCTGTCATTAATATATAATTTTAATAAAACTAAATGTGTATAGTTCTTCAAACCATGATTATAAACATATAAGGTACCCACAAAAATTCTCAAACCAAAAGAATTTAAATTTGTTTAAATCTGGAAAAGTAATTACTCAAGTGATTAGCTTAAATTACCTCAGCTTAAATCAGCTGTTATGTTAATTCAGTTGTTATTTTAATGTAAATAAAAAATAATGCTAAAAAATGTGTAAACAAATTAATCAATTGAATATGTTTATTTCAATGCTGTATTTTCATACATAATTTTATATAATACCATTATTTGTATTTGCTTAATTCTAATTAAACATAGTTCAAATACATTATGCATGCAAGTAAATGAGATAAATCTCACCGATTTAAAGAAAATCAATTCAAACAATTTAAAGATTTAAAATTTAAAAACAGAAATAGAAAAATTTTTAATAAAATATTTTTAAAACCAGCCACCTTGTAACACAGACGACACAACACAATTCAAGTTAAATTCTGCCAAACTGTGGTTGTATATGAAACTTGACCGTAAAACAAGTATATAAATACGGTCTGCGAGTTGTGAAATATTACGATCTAAACTTTTATAAATGTTTTGGCAGCACTTTTTTGTACAACGCCTGTGAAAAATGTGATGCTGCCATCTAGCAACGCGTAGAAATGTACAGCGGATACTTTGTTAATTGGAGATTTCCTTTAAAAATTCATTTGTTATTTATTTTATTTTCAGTTATAATATAATTAAGATATGTTTACAAAAACAGCAAAAATTATTTATTTAATAATTTAAAGCTATAATTCGATTAATTTAATTTTTTCATACAAAATTTTTGCACTGTAAATTAAACATGGATGCGCGCCAAAACTATGAAGTACAATAAATGTTTATTAATATATTATAAACACAATTCTAGTTTACAGTTAGTAACAAAAAATTAATGAATCAGTTTAATTTTTTAGTGAAGAAAAGATTCCCAACAAGCATGATTCGTGCTTCACCACAGAGTAACGTTAAATTGATATCAATAAATTGAAGTCCATTTAGACCGAAGAAAAATAAATGATGTATTTAATATGCATTTTATATAGATATAATCTTTTTTGTTATCTAAAACAATATATAAAAACTACATATTTAATAGATTAGTTATTAGAAATTAAATATTAAATATTAAATTAAATATTACACATATTTAAGTATTTAAGCCCTTAAAAAGAGTTTGATTATATATAAAAAAATCAACAACGAGAATAAAAACAATAGAAATTATATTCAACGTAATTAAATAAATTTTTAATTATTAATGTGTTTAATTCAGGGTTGCTTAGAATCAGAATAGCGCCATCTAATTGTCATCTAATGAAATACTCAATAAAATGCGACATTTTATTTTTCCTTTAATTATGCAATAATTGTTTTTGTAAATTTATAAATTTATATAATTATTGCAACTTAAATAGTTCGTGTTATTATAATTTATTTAGTGCAACAGATTAAAAACTGACTGCTTTTTGTTATTACTAACAATTAAAAAAATTAAAGATTTTAATCAGTAAATGTGGCACCTAATGACAAGTGCGCCATCTTATGACAACTGAGAGGCAAATAAAATATATAAAACTATCATTTACATGCGTTTAGCAATAATTACATGCTATGTAATTATTTATTGAAAAATATAAAAATTAACATAAAATATTATTTATTCTTTTTTATTTAAAAAAAGCAAAAGTATAAAAATTATATTTTAGTAATAATAACAAAATATGAGGATATTAGCACTTAACAGAAACAACGCCATCTAACGGCAAGTGGAAAGTTTATGTAATTTTTTTTTTCATTTATTTAAGTTTATATTAAAAATATTGTTCTGCGTTTATTCAATTAAAATATAGTTACTTATTAAAAATATAGTATTGTATTGTATATTGCAATATTGCATTTAGTTCTCAACAGAATTTGCGCCATTTTATGACAATTGAAAACTAAATAGAATTACATTTTTATGAACATTAATTAAATGTTATGCAGTTACTTAATTATTATTGTTTTTATATTAAATAATACAAAAGCTATAAAAAACAAAACAAAAAAGATGTACAGATGGGTTGAACTAAATAAAAAAACCATTGTACGACATCGTAAGACGAATAAAAAATTAAAACTATTTTTTTTTTCCTTTGTATCTATTGAGCAATATATGTTTTTCCGAGCACATATAATATTGTGTATTTCACAATAAGCAATATAGAGTGTTAAAAAAATAAACACTTTTATTATTAGTTATAATAATAATATGAAAGATATAGGCGGTACTACATAAAAACTAAAGCATTTAATATCCTTTGATGCGTAAATGAAATACAAAGTGTTTTTTATTTTTTATATTATTTTTTTTTTGTTAATTAATAAAGCATATTTGTTAATATTTAATATTAATGCTTAATATTTGATAAAATAAATATTTCTTTTTACTAACAAATGCCTTAAAGGTTTGTTTATAATTTGGCAGCACTACATTAGGTACGCCATCTATCGACATGCTGCTTCTTTTCTAATATGAAATATTTACTTAATATTTAATATACTCAAGAACGTGTTAATGACTATGCTTATAAAAACAATGCTATTTAACAATATTCAGTTTTTATAAATCTATATCTATTTATATGTATATAATATATATATGATACAGAATAATATAAAGTCTCGCAGTCACCAATAAACAGGCCTCACCTAGCGGAAATTGTGGGATATAAGTGAAATGCAACTGGCGGCATTTGCGCTATTAAATTTTGTTTTGTTTTTGCGGAAACGTAAATGGATATGTTTAAGAAAGCAACATTTTTGTAGCAACTTTCTTTTTTATATTAACAGTTCTATGTCTAATAATATATTTCGTATAAATTGAAGTGTCCTTAGCGGTACATATTGAATGTTTGTCAGCAATTTAACGATTGAAAGACGTACGTTCATCTTTTAAAACTGTATTCCATCCCATTAACTTCTGGTTTATAGCTTAACTGGCGTTTTGCAAAACAGCAGCGTCATATGGAAGAAGTTTTGCGATATACGTTTGGTCAATATAACTAGGAGATATGTTGTATCCAAGAACGGCCCGGTCCACATCTCGGAGCTGCTCGTCAATCCAGACGACCAAGTACTGTTCATGACCCTCAAAGGGAATTTACGGGCTACAAACACAACAGGAGACTTTTGTTAATGGCTAAGAAGATCTCTGGGTGAATATTAGTACTGAAAATGAAATTTTTCTTTTTTCAATGAAACTTAGTTTCTTGCAACATATTTTTTAATAAAAATAAGGAAACTGCTTTTCAATGATATGTTCCAATTGCTATATATATCATATATATATAAATATGTTTTCTTGCTTGGTTTGTCATTTGTTAATAATAATTGAATCGTGAATCGTTTATATTTGGTTTGACACCAAATTCCAGAAGAGGACAATTCTACGCCACAGAACCACCCAATGACAAAGTACCGTTAATGGCTCCTATTGGATAACACTATTCACAGTATAGGCGAAAAAGCATGGGCTGCAAAAATAGATTCTATATATTATTTGACTTATTTAAATTTATAATAATTGCTTTATTATTATGTTGAAGCTAGTTGAGTCAGTGCATTTAAGCACTTTTACGCTCTATTACTATGTTACTATATCTCTCTCTCTATCTATTCACTCTCTATGCATTTTTTGATCGGATCAATCTTGAGGTCACTGAGGATGTAATTTTTTTTGTGCGTTTGTGTTAATAAAATTATTACTGAATAAAAATATTTTTTTTTATCTATTGCAGCTTTTTAGAATAAATAAATTGCTTTTGAGAAATAGCAGAAGCAGTGCCAAATTACCATGTAGTGCTAAGACATATAGCTTGCTTTGAAGATATCAGAATAAGTGCTAGATAGTTCATCTTATACGATTTATTTGGTCATTCGTAACTACAATGGATCGTCATAGAAGCGGGGATGCAAGAGTATGGAATGCATAATAATGCAGAATTTATAAACTTTTAAGCATGAACTTTATAGAACTTCACATGTTTTCTTTATAAATAAAACTGACAAAAGTATTTCATACCTCTTTGTTATA